AAATAAATAAATAAATAAATAAATAAAATGATTTCTAGCTCGTGGGCCACAGAAAAATAGGCTGTGTCATGGGTTTGAACATTGTTAACTCCTGGTTGAAGTCTCACCTAAAAAGAATAAACTAAATCCAAGTAAATGGAAGAAAATGATAAGGAAAGGTCAGTAAAATAGAAAACAAATGAACAAGAAAAAAAAATGAGAAATTATATCAAAAGCTGGTTCTCTAAAGACAAGTGAAATTGATCAACCAACCCCTAGCTAAGGTGATCAGGAAGAAATGAAGGAAGACAAATTACCAATATTAGGAATGAAAGAGGGGCCATCACTACAGAGCCTAGAGACAGTGAAAATATAATAGAGGAATACGTGAAATCTTAGATATGGTGGGAAAATCCTGGGAAAGATGCAAACTACGAGAGCTGCACACCTGTAGTTCAGCACTTGGGAGACTGAGAGAGGAAGATTACTGTGAGTTTCAGGTCACCTTGGGCTACACAGTAAGTTCAAGGCCAGCCTGAACTACATGGCAACACCATCTCAAACAACGACAACAAATGAAAAAGAAAAAGGCAGTCTGAAACAGCTTGTAAGTAGGCTCTAGGTCCATCTGGCTGTTCTGGTAAATTCTACCAAATACTTGAGAGTTCAATTCTTATACTAATTGTACACAAAATCTTACAGAAAACAGAAGACAGAACACTACCCAACGCATTTTATGAGGTCAACATCACCCAGCAGTCAAAACTAGGCATTATAAGAGAAAAACAGGAAATGATGAATAGTCAATTTCTTTTTCTTTAAAAATAACTAGGAAAAAAGGCAGTAAGGTGGCACATCTATGAAGCTTTTCAGTTAACTACAACACAAAATTGGTGAGGAGGCAGTCAGAAAAAATGCCAGTTGGCAGGGACAGAGTTTCTTCTTATTTTCTTAGATGGAGAAAGAGAATAAGGAGAGAAAAGTAGAAAAAAACCCTACATACTCAGATTCAATTTGTTTTGTTGTGGTGCTGGGGATCAGGCCGAGGGCCTGGTGCACACTGGGTGAATCTTCTGCCACTGAGCTGTGTCTCCAGCCCTTTCTACAGATTTTTTAGAGGTCAGGCTAAGTATCCCAGGCTGGTCTGGAACTTTCCATCCTTTTTCTTCAGCTTCTTCAGTAGCCAGGATTACAAGCATGCACCACTGTGCTTCACTGTTGCTTGGTTTTTAAAGCACTAGAAGCGCTCAGATGATTCTCCCATGTCTTATACGGTGGGAGTGAACCTGCGGCACACACGCTGCACTGGGCTGTATCACTGAGAGCTCTAATAGGTTCACGGTCACTGCTTTATACATTTCAGGAAGAAGCCCAGCATTCAAAGGGAGAGCTGAGGTAATGCTTTCCATCCGCACACAAGGCCAAGGCCCCAAGGGCAAGGCGAGGCGCCCACGGGGAGTATAGTTCAGGGAATCTGATGGTTGAATTTTGAAACATTTCCTACAGCCTTTACCTTGACATGGCTTCCTTCTTTATCTGAGACAAGGGCCACATAGGTGATTTCATGATGTCTGCAGTACTCCTGTAATTCCTCTTGGGACTGAAACAAAGAAACACAGATGATCAAATAAACCTGCAGCTGCTTCGAGTCGTCAAGGAGAATGACAAGACTTTTCATTCACATTCCCAAAGCGATTTGCTAAGGTGCTGACTTTGGGGGACGTAAATATTAAGCAAGAGAGTGGAGATTTCAAAGGAGGAGCAACACTTCTCTTGGCTTTATATTCACTGCTCTAAGGGTCCATGAGCAGTCAGTGTGGTAGACCCAGTAAGAGGTTCACAACAGATTTGAAGCTTAATGGAAACTACCAGGAATGACACCACACATGTGCCTTGCTGTGGAGCCTAAAGGCGAAGCAAGGGCCACGTGCCAAGGAATGCAGGTGGCCTCAGGGGCTTCCCCTCAGGCTCCACAAGGGGCTGAACTGCAGATACCTTGCAGCTTTCAGATTTCTGACTTTGAGAAATTTAGATTAAAAAAATATTTTAAGCTACTAAGTCTATAGTAATTTGTTACTATAGCAATCAGAAATTAATATAGGCAGCAACTCTAACCACTTTGATAAAGATTTTTGATAGGATCTAACAGTGAGAGGACCACTGTCCTGAAGCTATAACTGTACACTTTGCACCCAGGTACTTCCTGTCCCATTACCTGTGACCAGTCGTACATGATTTCTGCTGTGATTCCCGCTGTCCAGAGTTTCTGGGTTAGGTTGATCGCCCTGGACATGGACATTTGGCCAACACTTACAACCAGAAGGTCACAAGAACTTATTGTAACCTGGATAGGAACAGAGAAATTACACTTGGTGGGCAACTCTGCAGGTACGGATAATGATGGGGCCAGTACTAGTGGGGAGGCGCTGCTCCCAGCAGACATCTGTGGCATCTTGCACAATGGTGTGCAGAAGACTTTACAAGAGACTATTATATTCTTTTTGTAAGATAGAAATTCAATTATCCTGAGTCATCAGGAAGATATATTTTGCTTCTGGGAAAATGAATCTTGCCTGAAAACAAAGGATAAAGAATATTTCTAGCTTTGTAGATATAGAAGGATTTTTTTTTCAGAACTGGGATTGAACTCAAGCCCTTGCGCTTGCCAGGCAAGTGGTTATTCTACTCAACTGTATTCTCCCCAGTCCCTACAGCAGGAATTTTGAACAAGGGGTTTAACAAGAGTGTATGAACGACCAGAGCATCTCGCTTTTACATAGTACCTTACTGGTAAGTACAGGTGAATTGCTGGAGGTCTCCTCGCTGGAGAGAAGAGGGCAAGGAATGGGATATGAGGATGACACGGATGCTTGGCTTATCTGCTATTGGAGGACTATTTCTGAAACCCTTGGTCTACACCTGTAGGGCTGTGTAAATATCTGTGTGATCCTCTTCCCTATTCCCTGGCATATATACCTCCTAAAATTCAAGGAATCTTCAAGGCAATGAGTGTCTTTTTCTGTGTGAATGAGGTGACTGACATGAGGGGTAGTCACTGGGACAACTAAGGCAGCATTAGAGGAAAAGAGCTTCCAGTCACCCCTGGGGGAAGAAATGGGCTGGAGACTAAGTTGACCACCAATGAATGACCAAAGCCACGTTCAATCACCTCAAAAGGAGAGGGGGTCACAGAATATCCAAACAGTCAGTGAGGATCCTGGAGGATGACACGGCCCTAGAAGGCATGCCAGCACAGTGTCTGTTCCAAGGACCTCACTCTGTGTATCTCCTCACCCCGGCTTTTGTGACATCCTTTTTTTTTTTTTGGCAGAACCGGGGATTGAACTCAGGCCCTTGCGCTTGCCAGGGAAGCGCTTATTCCACTGAGCCATCTCCCTGGCCCCTGTGACATCCTTTTAATAGGCCAGTGAATGCAGATAAATGTTCACCTGAGTTCTGTAAAGTGCTCTGACAAACGAGTCAGACAGGAGGAGGAAGGTGGGAAGCCTGCTTTAGAGCTGATCAGTCAGAAGCACAGACACAACAATGAGGCTTTAAATGCAGTCATGAGGGTGGGGTGGTCCTGGGGACGGAGCTCTCAGCCCGTGGGATGTGGTGCTGCCCGCAGGCAGCAGCGGTTGTTGGACTGAGCAGAATCTGAGGAGACCCAGCTTAGTTTGCCACTAGCAGGGACTATGTGGTATGTAAGAGGGAAACAGGAGAATCCAAGCTTGTTTTCTTTTGTTTAACCCTAAAAGGCACATATTGCTCTTAGACATGAAAGCTGTTTTAAAGCATACTGGAAGGCAAAGCTGGACTTACAGGTTCTTCCATGTTGAGGACAGCAGCAAATATCCTGTCTATTGCTATGCTGACACCAATGGCAGTGGGAACTGGCCCCAGAGCCTGCGGGCCCCTAAACTGGGGGATCTGTGGAGAGACAGACAGCTCTGGTTATGAAACAGACAAGGAAAGTAATGATTAAAGAACAAGTTCTCTGTCAGCCACTTGGCATTGAGGGGTTCAACAAGAGAGGTGTGTGTTTGGTGGGGGTAAGACAGAAGTAAATTTAGGAAAATAGTAACAGATGTTGCAGAGAGATCTGCATGGTTCAATATAGCAGCCACTAGCCACATGTGGCTCCTGAGTATCTGACATCTGGCTAACCCCAAGTGACATGTGCTATATCCATAGAACACAGGCTGAAGACTCAGAGTGAAGAAAACAGTGTGAAAAGCTGAGCCTGCAGAAAGCTCTGGGTTTGGTCCTTAGTACTGTAAAGCCTCCCACCTCAAAAATGGAAAATAGTCTGCAAGAAGTGAGTGGCGGCTTGGGGAGATAGCTCAGCAGTATAAGCGCCTGCTTGGCAAGCACAAGGACCAAGTTCAATCCCTGGTACTGCACACTATGCTGACTCCAGGACACAAGGCACAATGTGCCAGCCCTGAAACTCGGCATGGTGGCACAGGCTTGTAATCTCAGCACTGGGGAGGCTGAGACAGGACAATCACTATGAGTCTGAACTGTGTACGGAGACCCTGTACCAAAATAAGTGAATAAATAAATAGGGGCTGGGGAGCTGGCTCAGTGGAATAAGCACTTCCCTGGCAAGTGCAAGGGCCTGAGTTCCCCGGTTCCGCAAAAATAAATAAATAAAATTACAGAATAGGATGTGATGCTACATGCCTATAGTCCCAGCACTCGGAGGCTGAGACTGCAGGATTGTGTTGAGTTGGAGGCCAGCCTATACTATATCCTGAATTCAAAGCCAGACTGCCCAGAAAGAATGGCTATCATACAGAAATCAACTAATAACAAATGCTGGAGAGGCTACTGGGAAAAATGAATCCTTCTCCACTGTTGGTGAGACTGTAGACTGGTACAACATTTCTGTAGAAATCAGTGTGAAGATTCCTCAGAAAACTAGAATTAGAAGTCCCATTTAACCCAGCTATTCCCCTTTTGGGTATTTTCCCAGAAGAACGAAAACAATGATAAATGTGTAGCATGCTTATAGCAGCACAATTTGTCAGAGCTAAATCTTGGAAACAACCCAATGCCCACGAACTGAGGAATGGATAAAAAAGCTATGGCATTTTTATACAATGAAGTATTACTCAGCTATAAAGAAAGATAAACGCAAGGCTTTTATAGGAAATGGGTGCAAGTAGAGGCCAAACTGATAAGTGAAATGAATCAGAGCCACATGTAAATATTATATTGTTTTCGCAGTATAAGAACCTGAAAGAACATACAAATTGGAAAGATACAATACAGTAAAAGGGAAAGAAACTGAGCAAAAGGAATAGTTTGGATGAGGGAAAGAGACAAGAAAGGAAAAAAGGAAGATTAAAAAAATCATGTGTGTATATACATAGGAGAGCTAAGATGATTGTACTGCTAATTTCTATCGGTTTTTGGAAGGTAGTGGTTAATGCTGAAAATGTTTACTTTGACCAATTTTACAAGTTTATATCTAGTAATCCGAGTAACTACTCTGATGACAACAATGTGCAATATAATAACCACTGTGAATACGACTGTGTATCATTTCTAATGTCTTATTTATTATTTTTGTATTCTCTTTATTTTTTTTTGTATTTTAGGACAGGGTCTACAGGGCCTATAGGATCTCGCTGCGTAGATCGGACTTGTAGCGATCCTCCTGCTTATAGCCTCCCAAGTGCTGGGATTACAGGCGGGAGCTAACACGCCCAGTCTCAGTCACCATCTCAAGTGTGCCCTGGGGCGGGGCCAGAACAACAGGCCCAGGGATGGAACTCCAGGCCCTTGTGTCTGCCTAAGCAGGTGCTTTAATCCACTGAGCTATTTGGCCGGTCCTTATATTCTCTTTAAAATAAAAATCTAGCCTGAACTGTATACTGAGATGATGTCTCAAAAAACAGAACAAAGCAGAACAAAAATGACATATGTGGTTCACATTACACTTGCATTCCTAGATGAATGATACAGAAATAATCATTTGCATTAGTAGTTCAACTTCTTCAGTAGGTTTGAAAAATTTCAAGACAGTAAGTTGAGGAAGAAATAAAATTAAGCCAGGACTGCCAATCAGACAAAGGGTACACACTCACCAGCAGGTCATATCTGCCACCGGCTGCGAGGATTTCAGGGACAGCCCTTTGTCTGCGTCTGATGAAGGCCACAAACTGGAAGATGATTCCATTGTGCTGCTGGACCTTGTACACCAAGCCCAAGTTGATCAAGACCTGCAGAGTGCAATGCAGCCACATCAGGGGCTCGGGACTTCACGTGGAACACAACACTGAGAGTGAGCTTCCCAACAGCAGCAGGACAGTTTACTTAGTAGAAACAGGATATTTAGCGAATCTAGCAGGCCTAATGTCTACTTAACTGCAGCCTGCCAAGCAAGAGAAACTGTTGTCTTCAAGAAGACCTCTTCTCTGAGGCTGACACAGTAAGAATTGCTGCATGTTAGGAATCCTAATGCTTGCAAAGAAATCTTGAGTTAAATCACAATTATTTCTAAGCAGTAAATGCTCCAAAAGAGAGAGCATGAGTTTTTCTGGAGAAATAAAACACTCATGAGCATTAAGGAAATAACACCCATTTCCCCCTTGAGCGGTTAGTAAGGCTACCATCTGAACTGCTACTATGAAGAGTTGCCAAACCTGTAACTTTATGCCAAGTTTCTTCAACAGTCCAACCACCTCCTCCAGATCTTTTAAGCCATATTTCACTAACTGGGCAACACCTGTTTTCTGTTTTATTAATGAATTTATTGTTGGTGTCAGGTCTTGCAAATCTCCCTTCTGCTCAATAAACTTGTAGAGCCGACACAGCTGGAAAACAAAAAGGCACAGTTAGCTGCCAGTGCACAAAAGGGGAGACACCTGTGTGTGGTGCAGAGGGGCCACTGCGGCCCAAGCTATTTTAGCCTTGCTGCAATCCTAAGGATCATCCTTTCCCTAAAACTCTGGCAA